TTTTAAATGTAGCTCGATCTTTGTTGTTTCAATCAAATGTGCCATTGAAATTTTGGGGAGATTGTGTTTTGACAGCAGTGTATCTTATAAACAGAACCCCTACACCAGTTTTACATAACAGAACACCTTATGAAGTTTTGACAAACACACATCCTGATTATTCACATCTTCGGATATTTGGTTGTCTTTGTTATGTGGACACTCTTCCAAAGGATAGACATAAATTTTCCCATCCACATGGTACAAAAGGTTATAAAGTCTTGGATTTAGAAACTGAGTGTGTTTCCATTTCTCGTAATGTTGTTTTTCATGAGGACATTTTTCCTTTTAAGACTACAGATCTGTCTTCTTCCACTATTGATTTTCTCTCTCCAGATCTTAGTCCTTACTTTATTGATGATGTTCCTCATCTTGCTTCACATTCTGTTCCTAATACAAACATTATTTCTGGTCTCAGACCAACATCTTCATCAACATCATCTTCCATCTATCCTACATCACAGCCAGTATCTCATCCTGTAGATACATTTCCCAGTATATCAGATAATAATGGTCGACCACATCGCAAGATAAAAGCACCTGGCTACTTATCCAATTATCACTGTTACCATTTACATCATTCTGAACCACCCCCTAAAACCAACATTACACCTTACCCTTTATCCTCTGCCATATCATATACCAGATTACATCCTTCTTTTAAGGAATTTGTCCTTTCCATTTCCACTGAATCTGAACCCACATGTTATACTCAAGCCGTGAAATCTGCTCAATGGAGAGATGCTATGATTTTGGAATTGGAAGCATTATCTAGAACGAGGACTTGGTCTGTTTGTGAGTTGCCCTCTGGCAAACAACCAATAGGTTGTAAGTGGGTGTTTAAAATTAAACACAATGTTGATGGTACAGTTGAAAGATATAAGGCTAGATTGGTTGCAAAGGGTTATACTCAAGTTGAGGGAATTGACTATGTTGAAACTTTTAGTCCTGCGGCAAAGTTGACTACTGTTAGAGTTCTGTTGGCATTAGCTGCAGCTAACAATTGGATCTTGGATCAAATGGATGTCTCTAATGCTTTTTTGAATGGAGATTTGGATGAAGAGATTTATAAGCAATTGCCACCCGGATATTCTCACCTCAAGGGAGAGACTATACCAAAGAATTCTGTTTGTAAACTCCAGAAGTCATTGTATGGTTTGAAACAGGCTTCGAGGCAGTGGAATCAGAAGCTTTCTTCTGTTCTACTTGCTGCTGGATGTTCACAGTCGCATGCAGACAATTCTCTGTTTACTTTGAAACTGGGCACTTCTTTTGTTGCTGCTCTTATATATGTGGATGATATTTTGGTGACAGGAAATGATCAAGCTCTTGTGCAGCGTATTAAGGACACTCTTCAGGATCAGTTTCTGGTTAAGGATTTGGGAAAGCTGAAGTTTTTCCTTGGTTTAGAAGTGGCTCGATCTGAATCAGGTATCTTTCTCTATCAGAGGAAATATGCTTTGGAGCTCCTTGAAGAGTTTGGTTTCTTAGGATGTAAACCTGTTATTACTTCTATGGATACTCGAGCTAAGCTTAGTAAAGAGTCTGGTCAGTTGTTGGATGATCCTACTCATTATAGGAAGTTGGTTGGCAAGCTGATTTATTTGGCTGTTACTAGGCCTGATATATCTTTTGCTGTGAATAAACTGTCTCAGTTTATGTCTCAGCCTCGTTCTGATCATCTTGTTGCTGCTCATAGAGTTCTTAGATATCTGAAGCAGGCTCCATCTCAAGGGTTGTTTTATTCTGCATCGACTGAGCTTGTCTTAAGTGGTTATAGTGATGCAGATTGGGCTTCCTGTTCTGATACTAGGAGATCAGTTACTGGTTTCTGTGTGTTTTTGGGTTCAAGCTTGGTTTCTTGGAAGTCTAAGAAGCAGGTGACTATATCTCGGAGCAGTGCAGAGTCGGAGTACAGAGCTCTTGCTCAGACGATATGTGAATTGCTGTGGATTTCGTCCTTGCTCAGGGATCTTTCGGTTCATTTTTCTGAACCTGTATCTTTGTACTGTGATTCTCAGTCAGCGATTCATATTGGCAACAATCCGGTCTATCATGAGCGTACAAAGCATATAGAGTTAGATTGTCATCTGGTTAGGGAGAAGATCAAGAGTGGGTTTCTTCAAACTGTGCACACTCCTTCTTCTGATCAGGTGGCGGATCTCTTAACTAAACCATTGTCTTCGGAGCAGTCTCGTTACTTAGCTTCCAAGATGGGAATACAAAATTTTTATTCTCCATCTTGAGGGGGAGTAATAGAAGACTATGTCTTTGGGTTATTTCCGGTTTATTTGGTTTGTATCGGTTTAGTATTTCCGGTTCATTTTTCTGTTTTGGTTGTTTTGAATTTCGAGGTGTATAAGAACATCTTTTTCAGTTTGGAGGAATATACAGAAAATTTGGACAAATTCATTTCCTCTCACTCAAGATCCTCAGGTCTCTTTCGATACCTATCAAATCGCTCAAATTGTCACAATGTACGACGACAACGAGACCGAAAAATCCGTCGCAGGATATATCTGTCGCACGTGCAGCAAACTAGAGTCGAATATGTTCGTCGCTCGGTGCGACGAAATGTAGCATCGGCTTGTGCGACAATGTTCAGACGGAAACATCCGTCGCACGTGGTGACGGATCGCGACGGATATCCGTCGCTTATCTGTGATGAAATACAAAAATAAAAAAATCAGAATTAAAATTATTTTAAATAAAATATTAACAGAAAATAATATTAAAATTAAATAGAAATTGTTTTTAAATTATAAAAAGTTAATTAATTAAAGAAATTATCCGAGAAATTGTTTCTGGTATCTACCTGGGGATCACGTTCTACGGACGGATCACGATCGTTGTCGGGATGGGCCATACTGTGAGCTGAAGCTGCAGTAGAGCCGGTATCGATCGAAGGCGTGAAACGCTGCATCATGTCTTCAATCGAGCTATCTGTACATGTGTTATGGCAAGCTTAACGATATTCTCTTGAACAACTGTAAGTTCAGCCTCAACACCCCATGTAAGGGAGATGTGCAACATGACAAAGACGAGTTACCACCACCGAGCTGGGTGGCCATCGCTCATATCCTGTAAATCCGATCTTTAGCATCACGTTGGAACACCTACGAAATAAAGATATAATAGTTATAAAAATAATTTAATATAAATTTATAAAAATATAAAAATTAAAATAAGATTTACCTCAAGATACAAATTGTTGATCTCTTTCGGAGAGAGTTGTGCCGACCCACTGTCTCGTCCAACTGAGACATACGATCGTTGATCTTGTGCTGAATGGCATCCTCGATATCGTAGACACATTCGTCCATGTATGTCTCGTCTGATCGACGATGTGTCTCCGTAGGAGACGCAAAGAAGAGGATTTGACACCTTTCTTTCTTCTTTCTGCCTCTGCAAAATTTTAAAAAATAAGTATAAATTATAAAAACGATACAAGTGTTGAACCAAAATGAGACTAACACACATGTTGAAGATTCGGTCCAAGATATGGCTTCAGATGAAGTGCTCGAAGATGGGCTTGTCAACCTACAACCCAATGGAACAAAGCCCATTACAATTACATAAAGGATAAAATGTTGCCGTTAGGAGACGGAGATAATAAGTTGTCGTATATTCCACTTTCCTTTCTCTTCATCTTAGACCTGCAATTTCTTCTCCTTCCTTTCAGATTGCTATTTCCTTTTTTTCTATGTCCGTTTTGTCTGGTTAAAAGGGATTTTATGTAGCCCTAAGAATAAGCATCTGTATGGAAGATTTCTTCCTAACTCTTCTCTATTCTCCATGTTTCGTTCAATTTGAATAAGTTTCGGATCTTATTATGAAAGCTTAATCCTTTGAATTCTTAAGTTCTTTCAACAAGTATTTAAAACTAATCTAAAAACTTACTATATCAAGAGTTACTCTCACAAACGATCTCCTCCCGACGGTGTGAGTCTCGGGTGTACGATTGGAAGAAGCTTTCGATTTTCGATTTGAAGATGCAATCCGCCCCCTCTTCGTTGCATTTTCTGAATCACATAACTCCCTTAACTCTAACTAGACGTCTGTGGTGATCCATTTAGACTGCTTTCATATTTGTTTGAGCCTGTAGACTGTGTCTCGCAATCTTGCACCGATAACGTCTTTCCACGCATGACGGACGGCGTTGTGCAAGGAAAGACCCCAATAATAGTATTGCTAAAAAAAATTAAATGTTAAATAATTATCGTTAATTGTATACTAATAAAAAAATTGATAAAGTAATATTAACGCAAAAGCGGCAAATCACCATTCCTGAATATCAGCTAGAAAACGAGAGATGATGAGTCAACCCTAAATTTATTCGTTACGATCAAACCTAAAATTATAATATGTATTAGTTTTGTTTGGTAATTTCACTACAAGAAAAACTGCTAAATGTGACAGAAATATCTGACGCCGAAAGAAGCAAAATTTGCCGCAAATGAAAAATTGTGACGGAAAACGATGGCAATAAATCCGTCGCTACAGCGCTGTCGTAAAAGGATGGTGGTCGATAGTCTATCGCAGATTAGCGATTGATTGGAGTTGTACGCCGTCACTGATATACGACGGATACAATATCATCGCTCCACCGTCGTGGCACATTTGCGATGAATATTTGTGTTGTGGCACATTTGCGACGAATATTTGTTATTGATACACCGTCACAACTTTACGACAAAAGTTTTCCACCGGCAATCCATCGCAGTTAGTGGCGACGCATAGTTCATTCAGTGATGTGCGACCAAAAAGAGACGATACTGTCGTAGAAAAATTGTGATGGAACAAGTACAGATACATTCTGTCAAAAAACTAATTTCTTTATAAAAAATTATTTTTAAACTTAGAATTTGTAAAATAATTATATTATAATATAAATAGTTACAAAAATATTAAAATAAATATTTAAAAAGTTTAATTTAAATAAAATTTACTTAAAAAGTAATTATTATATCAAAATACATAAAAGTGTTTATGAAAATACAACAAATAAAATTACACCAAATAATTATCGGGGTTCTCGGATCCGTATTCCTGCTCCCCAGAGGCTCCTGAAGGTCCGACACCACGCTCGATTGCTGGCTGAACCAAGTCTTGCTCTGAAGCATTGGCTGACGATGGATGTATAGGAAGCATACGCTACAATAACTCCTCGTAACGAGTAATCTGTGCCTCACCTTCCTCAAGCCTCGCCATAGATGCGACACTTAGCATCTGGCTAGACAACCTACATAATATAATACATATTAATTGCAACAGCATGTGCGAGAAACACAAACAAGGAATGACTCCTGATGAGCTTCTGGTAAGGAGTATAGGGATGAATCAAACGCACCGAAATGAGAGAGATCCGAGGACTATATAGGTATGGGACTACACAGTCAAAAATAACTTAAAGAAATTGATTGAACTACTCGTAACAACAAGATCATCTACCTTTTCGGTTGTCCCATCTCGAAAGAATTCTAAAGTTAAGCGTGCTCGCTTTGGAGTAGTTGTTGGATCGCGCAGAATCCTCGCTCACCAGTTCAAAACAATTTTGAACGACCCACGGACCATCATGCTTTGATGAAGAACTTCAAGAACGAAAACTAACCTTTGAATCCTTGGATTCTTAATCCGATTGCAAGGTAGTTAATCATAGCCAAGGTGTTGAAGATGCCAGCACCCTCTTGAGCAGTCCACACTTTTGGTTTCCTACACTTGGAAACTTATTTGCTAGAGTTTGGAGAGATCAAATCTCTTATTACCGCCCCCAATTCAACTACCGTAGCGAGAACTCGAACCACGTCTACATCAAATTCATTATAAACCCTAAAATACATACACATACATACTTACTTCCAGGATATATACATATACATACAAACACATACATGCATACAAACACAGTCATATATAAACATCAGAACCGTGAAAAGGCATATTCTAAACTAAGAAAAATTTCATTCTTAACATCAAATATGGACAACATAACTTTTTGCTCCCAATAAATTAACTCTCTTTTTGTTAAAAATTGTATAAACTTTGTAATCATCCTTTAAATTGAACGGACACATTACATGATGAATGGACCAATTATTTCATACATTAATTTTCTTGACCAAAATATATCATTTCTACTAGTTAAGATTGTTTTGAATATTTTTGGATTGTGGATGAGTCAAATTTATATGCTATAAAACTCATTGAGATGAACAATGTAACAAAATTTCATTGCAAAACTCATTACAATTTAAGAAATAAAGACTGCGGCTTTAGCTAACCCTCAATGCATCAAATCTAATGCCTATTAGTAGCAGCAGAAACCAGCAAGATTACAGAATAAATCTCATTTTAAAGATCTAATTGTTACCATCATCTTTAAGAATCAGAAGAGATACCAACAAATGATAAGACACCAATCTTGGAAGAAGAAAAAAACCAAGTACTGTGAAAGATATGGTTTAAGAGCCACCTCATGTTCTGATGCCTCGCTGAGAGCTGTCTGATCATGCAGTATCCATGGTCGGCTCTTTAGGCAACTTTCCCCATCATCAGGGAGATTGGTTCTTTCTTTTTCACGCGATACTTGCTTCAACACAAACGATGTTTTTGACACAAAACCTGGTGGAGTTGAGAGTTTCTCCATTTTTTTTACGGCAAGATATTTTGAGAAAAGAATGTACGGTGAAATGGAAACAAATTGATCTCCGGTTATATAATATGATCAAGGGACCTAAATATTTCCTGCAAAAAAAAAAGAGTGAAATGTCTGATGTTAAGCATATTGGAGTCAATTTTTTTATAAAAAAAAACCCCAGCAATTTCAGAACAATAGGGAAATTTGGAATGGGAAAGAACCCTAAAAAGGAAAACGAGAAGACAACTAAACATACCCAGATTAAAGAGAAGCGCCCAAGATTTCAGACAAAACCCTTCTGCGAATTTTGAATGGAAGGGTTAGAGGAATAATTATATAAAGCTTTCATCTGGAACTCCAAGGGTCTCCTTGGTTAATATCGAAGCGACACATTGTGTTGCAGCTTTCCGACTTCCGTGCTCCATTGCTGCCACTGATAATTCCTACTTTTTTAAATGAATCTTTGCCACTCGATTTCATCTTGGCCGCCATGGCAGCCGACCTCAAATTCTTCTTACCCATTGTAGCATGATGAACTCTGACGCCAAGCGCATCAAAAGCAACAGCTATGATTACCAATCAATATAGACAAGACATGAACTTTGTCCCACTCGTCCAAATTAGAACACAGAACTGAGTCTGAGAGCACAGAAACCCAACGAATCGACAATCGAGTGGTCTTAACCTAACCAAACAAAAAATCGCAAAGACCCAAAATAATATCGATGAAGCATACCCAGTAGAAAAATTCAAGTTGATCCGAAGAAATTTTCATGGGACTATACAACTCAAATCAGATACGTGATACCTGGAACTTTAAACTGATTATTCAGACAAGAACTAGACAACTCAAGTTGATTCGAAGAAATTTCCATGAATCTCAGATTTGCTCCCACTAAGTTGGGAAACAGAGACAAGAAACGACAAACGAGGAGGACGATGAGATGGAGATCTTACCGGCGATGAGCCTCTCCGGAGATGAAGAACCTCCGCGACGGTAACGGCGACGGCGACAACCCTAGTCGTGACAAATTTACTTTCATCATTTGTTTTTAATAATTCTGTTAATTGTTGTGTTATTGTACTTAAGTCCTCCAATATTTTATAACCTTTTTTCACGGACGCAAATTTTGAATATGATCAAACTTGGTTTTACACAGTATTTCTTCCCCTTGAAGCGTTTGATTTTTCATTTATAACGATAAAATTGTATTTTTAAAATTCTACTTTTTTTTTCATTTTATTATTAATGCCGTGTCTATTTTATACTTCTATTTAAAATTTTAAATTCAGAATATATTAATAGGATATGTATATCTTTTTATCGAATTAATATACAAAGTTTGATTATCCAACAAGATTAAAGTAGTATTTTTTAAAAAAAAAATTGTTCATTGAGATGTATATAAATATTTCTTTCGGGGGGATTATGTGTAGATATTTGTGCAATAATCACAATCACAATATGTCATTATATTTAGTTTGTCTTATAAATATTTAAATAAGCTTGTCCTTCTCTATCATCATTGCTAACCCCGGAATTTGTTTATTCATTTAAGATTTTTCCTGTTGCACTCGTGCTTTCCAAACAAAATATTATTAGGATTCTTGATTAGACATACATATATATGTCTATATATATATTTTATATATATATTAGTGTATATACTATATGTTGCTGTTGGTTTATATATATGAATATTATATGAACCAAACTCATAATCCTAAAAAAGTGATGCAGTTATGGAACATACCTCAAGTTTTAGTATGATTTGGTCGTACGCCACTCTATTTAATCACATGGGGAATTTCAGCTCGAAAGATATGTAATAATGTAATCAAGATTTATTAATTCATAATTATGATTCTCCAGACATAATATTCTCCCCGGAAAATGTAATAATCAACACTCTTCCTGTAATTCCAATGTGTGTGTGTGTGTGTATATATACACACACACGATGATTATGCAATTAGTAACATGGGCATAACCCCTCTCTTCAGTTGGTCGAAGAGTCTATTGGTGTTTGAAAATCTATATATATATATATATATATGTATGTATATATATATATATATTAGTTGTTAGATTTTACAGTCATATGGGACGTGAAAACTGCATCCTTAATATAGGAGTCAAAGTTAGATTGGTATTCACTATTCGATACTTTGCACCCTTTTGTGAATAGAACCAATCTCGTAGAAATTTTGTATAATTAATTTAGTCTCGAGAATTTTAAAAACAAATTTTGAACGTTAAACAATTCCATTATTGTTTCCGATGACCAATCACTATGTATTTTTTTTTTCTAAACAAGAATAATACCATTTGAAAAATACAAATTATCTATTCAAACTTTATGTCATTGTCGAAATCAGACACGATAACAGTAGTATAGATATATTATATTTAAATAAAAGCATGATCGAACAAATCAAATTTAGATTTTCATACATGTAAATATATGCATGAATAACTTGCGTCGAATGTGGATAAAATATGCAATCAATCAAGATCCATGATGCCCTAAACGTGTAGTGCGGAAAAAAATAATACATATTTGTTCATCATAAATGTTAATATAAAGTCTTGTTGCCAAGTCCAATTTCATTAAATAATAAAGTGTTTACATTTCCAAGTCATACATAGCAATTTTTTCTCAGTGTATTTGGTCAGAAGACTAGTATATTATTTGATACATTTGTTTTATTGCTTTGAAAATCCAAAGGTGGAGAAGACTTTGAAATTTGGGTGTGTATATATTTTTTTTAGATAATCGGATGTTTTGGATCGAAATCCAGATTAATCTCGGGAACGGAAGTAAGTCATAATACTAGAATTTATGTTTTTCTCCTCAATTTAAAGCTCGAACTCATGCGGTATAGATACTTTGCGTACAATTTACTTATCCAAATTGGGTATATATATTTTTTTTTATTTGTTCAATTCATTTTGATGTTAAAGAGAAACCACTATATGTGATGATTAAAGATCTTGGGATGATCGAACAAATCAAATTAAACATGACAGTTTTGATGTGATTTTCTGGTCGAACGTGATTCATGTATATATATATATATATACTTGACAGACCAATTACACTAAATAATAAACCCTAGGTTACTTTGTGATAAAATCAGATACACACACATATATTATAAAACAACAGGTAATATAAAATCGACCTGATGTATTATTTTCAAATGAATTATAACTATAATTTGATAAACATGTTACAAGACGATTTATTTTATTTAGGGTTCCATCATATAAGCATACCATAATTGCGAAAAGCTTCTACATGATGTCGGAAAAGAAAAGAGTATAAGATACAAGTGGGAATACATGGAACTACAGTTATAAACGTTACTCATGTATGCCCTCGACCGTGGTGGACTCCAATCTTCATCCTTAATTAAACCGAACACAAGACAATTGCTTAGTTAACATTGGTCGGACCGTCCAAACAAATCCTTTGTCTAATTAACTTATCTTCACACACATATAAAGTAGAAAAATTTGCAATCACAGAATTTTGGGCCACACAATAGATTCATCAAATCGTTTAACCGAACTTCTTTTGAACAATGATGGGTTGGAGATACATTTCTCTCGTGTCATTGTAAATTATATATAGAGTATTCGAGTTATATATTATGGAATTCTATTTCTAATACGTGTAAACCTTTGATAGACACTATACCAAACTAAAATGAACTAAACCGGTCTTGTTCCCTAAAATTATGCTTTCACATACCGAATATTTTTTTAGGTAATTGAGTATCATGGACCTTATTCTATATTAATCTCAGAAACCAGAGAAGTCCATGCCAATATTCTTTCTCAAATTTGAAGATTCGAACGGAGGATGAGACAGACGCTAAACGCCTCCGTTTTCGTCGATTGAACTAATCAAATTTAAGTATATACCGAATATTGTAGAAACCATCAAAGATTGCAAATTTGATTATTAACCATTTTATTATCATATAAAAAAAAATGATAAAGAGGCAAAGAGGGCAGCAGGGTGGGGACAAACCTAAGTGTGGAGAGGAACACAAGGAGAAGTGACAGAAATGAATGGGGCAAAAATAGGAAAAGCACTTTCAGATTGGGGTGTCGTGTTTGTTGCCATGGAACAGGTAATAACGCGTCCCGCTCTCTTCTACATATCTCGTTGTTGTTTATATAATCACATGGACCGACGTGTTCTTCACATCAAAAACCCCACTCGGTTTTGTTTTCTTTCTCTTCTTTGTTGCTTAGGTCCCCCTACCCCGAACCCATCATTTCTTGTTCTTCTTTCCCTCTAATTTTATTTGTAACATTTTGCAAATTGTTTTCTTCTTCTTTTTATTTATATTATCACCACCATCATCATCATCATCATCATCATCATCATCATTATATCCATCACCATTATACATTGTTCATATATAATGATCCACGATGAAGAAATACATTGTATTTATATGATGATATGGAATAGATATCTAGGTTCAAATGATTCCCTGGTTGTTCTATAGTCATGTTTCGATTTGCACGAAGCAGTCCACTAATGTCTAAATGATGTGTTTGTCATCGGATCTACCCCACAAGAAATTTGCACCAAAAACACTATTGCATGTATCATTTCCTTTGGATTTTATCATTCAAATGTGCAATAACGAGCAACAATATTATAAGAGTGAATGGTATTCGCGGACAAAAAAAAATGTGAATTAGAACAAAATCATGTAAAATAACCATAACCTAATTAAGTAATATATATGATTCGTACAGTTTACGAGCTCCCCTATTACATTTCTTTTTAAATAATTGCTAGGAAACCGCTTGATGGTAAGAAGTTACAAAAATATATTGTGCAATCTTATCGTGTGAATCTGTGAACGATAATGGCGCCGAATTTTGGATCTCTCACTCACACACACAGACACGAGAAATTTAACGTGTTCGGATCACTTTGATCCTACTCACGGCCAAGGGAGATCTCGGCAATTCATTATGCTTATGCGCTTCCTTTTACAAATCCGGAATGAACGAAAGACGAACACACACCCTGATACAAGAATTGAAAGTGAAAAGAAAAAAGATCTCGTCGAAGAAGACGATGACAACTCAGGTTTATAAAGCAGATTCAACCGAGTAACAACCAAAACTGATTTTCGATTATATCCTTCCCGCTCAGCTCGAAACGCATCGTTTAATTAAACCATAACCGACCTTCAATTTCTCCAAACAACTCAAATTCTTCTTCAGTTTTGTTCAAAACCGGAACCTTCTGTTTAACCGAGAAACTCTTTTAACTCTAAGCACCCTTCAACATGCAAATTGGAAAATTTTATTATATTGGTGATATATATAATATCTCTTGTATATTCGATATCTCCCACATTTAGGGAAGTAGTTGTATCTAGGTCTCTCTCACACATGTATATATACGAAGCATGAATAACAATAAAGTAAGCTTTTCAAATATCTATTATGGTATCAATAGCCTAAAGTGTCTCGCGACCAAAACCTAGCCGCCACCACTATTTTTTTTTCCGCTGCCGTTGGTGTGCTCTCTGCTTCTCTCCGACGACGCCCTCCTTTGGTGTTGTCAACCCTTGTTCTCATGGCTACACCCACTGCATCAGCCGTCGACCCTACCTCCTCTGCAATGGACACTATTGTCACGTTCAATCCCGCGGATCCTCGAAAATCTCTTCTCTCGGTTAACATGACGAATGTCTCTAAACTCACTCCGACGAACTACATTACCTGGAGCGTTCAAGTGAGATTATTGCTTGAAGGCTACCAACTTGATAGGTTCATCTCTTCTGATGGTTCTTGATACGTGTGTACCGAGTCTAGAATTTATACCCGATTCATAACTCACCGCAAGGATACGGATCGTCGTAACACGGGGTCGAACGCAAGGACCGGTAGCTAAATCTAAACCTTAATCGAAACTAAATCAAAGCAAGTAAGTGAGTGTGATGATGGAAGTATATGAAATGAATGGAAAACAAGGAAGCAAAGCAATAAAAACGAGTAAACTAGCAATCTAAGATGACCGTGGGTGTCGGGATCGTGTTTGCGTGTATGGGTATATGCTAAG